CTGGCCGCGGTGCTGTGCAGCCTGCTCTGGGTGACCCTGCTTGGGCAGGGGGTTGGGCTGGGTGACCCACAGAGGGCCCTTCCATCCCCGACCGTTCTGTGATTCTGTGATTCCACATCTCCCTGAGCTGTGCCTGCCGCTAAAGGGAAGCGATGTGCTGCAGCCTCCGAGCCCGAAGGCAGCGGTGCAGCCCTGGGGGGAGCGGGAGGATTTATTGCTGTCTGGCATTTTCCTGGCGCTGGGCCGTGCTGCAGATCCCTTGCTGTCACTCGGATGCATGGTGGCTTTGTAGCCGTTGCTGCCTGCCCTCCTCGTGTGCCCAGCCCCGTCCCGAGGCCTGGGGAAGCTGGAAGGTGGCAGTGGGTTTGCCTGCGTGCCCTGCTCCTCCAGCACCCGAGCACGGGCGCAGATCCTCGGCTGAGGGATGCAGCCAGGCCCGTTGGCTCCGTGCCACCCGCTGCCGGCGCTGGCAGAGCCCTGCTGCTCCACTCCCCGCTGCCGTGGAGCGGCGTGCAGGGGTGCCGGGCGCCCAGCTTGGACTCTGAATCGGGCTCTTGCAGGGCTGGGGCAAGCTGAGCTTTTGGGAAAGTGGAGCCCCTGCGGGTTTGTTGGTGAGAGGTTGCTGAGGGGAGTGAGTGGGAGCCTGGGAACACATCCCCCATGGCTCAAGTCATATCTTGAGGTCCCTCCTCGGGGTGAACTGTCTTCTGAGAGCCCCCAAGGGCTCAGCCCCTCTGCCACAGCTCAGTGCTCTTGCAGGGAACGATCCCGAGTGCCGGCACTGGCCGGATCCATGAGCAAACCCCCTGGCACATCCCCACCAGCATCTCCTGGCATGACGGCCAGGGCAGGGTGACGGGACGGAAGCCGGAAAGCGAGGGTGGACTTCATCAGTGATACATGTGAGGTTTGTTTCTCTTTCCAGCACTGGCTACCAAACAGACCTACGTCAGCTATAGCAACCACGCGATTTAGCTCCAGCGATCGCAACTGCCTGGCATAGAGGGAGGCTGCGGATGCCACGACGCAGGAGGGAGCTGAGTCGCATCGCTCGTCGCAGGGTGCTGGAGGGGGAGCCGGACGGGACAGGGAGGTGGCAGCGGGGGGGACACGCTCCTGGCCGGGCCGCTGAGCAGAGCTCCTGGGGAAGATGGCGATCAACAGCAGAAAAAAAACAAAAAAGAAAAAAGAAACAATAAAAATAAACCACCGACCACCGTGACAATGCATGCCTCCCCACGGAGGAAGCGGAACAGTCGAGCAGGGGGACGTAGCGCGGGGAAGAGGTGACGGACTTCAGCAAGTCTTTGGGGTTTTTTTTTGTTCTGTATCTTGGCAAAAAAAGGAGACCCAACGTTTTCCCTTTTCTGGAATTTGTGAGATTGTTTGTGGTTGTGCAGAACCTTCTGTTCTCTCTTTCTTTTTTTTTTAATCCTCCATTTTCTTTTGTTCCTGTCTTCCTCCGTCCCTCTTCACTCTCTCTCCCGTATCCTACCAAATTCTATATGTTGCAAAAAAGGAAAAATAAATAAAAATACATAAAATTTAAATAAAAAACAGACAACAAAATAAAAGAAACTAAAACCTAGACTGTGTTCAAAGTGCTGATTTCTATAGGTGGTTAATTAATGTATGTGATGACCATATGGATTGAAATGTCTGCTTTATGTACTGACCAGTCAAAAAAAGAAAACACACAAAAAAAACAAAGTTCAGTGCCTGGATGTTTATGAATTATTCAATGACTGTGTAGAGCATGATCATTTTTATACGAGGAGATTTCTAATAAAAGACCATGGTTTTGCACTCAGCGTTTGCTGTCTCTTGGTGACTGTTCGTTCCAGGCTCCAGGAGGTGACGTGGTTTTGGCTGATGGGGAAGATTTTGGGTGGCCAAGGGCTCCAAGGGCAGGTCGGAGCTTGGTGTCCTTCCTCTCCAGGCCATCCTGCCGCAGCTGGGGTCCTTGTGAGGGGATGGGACAGGGAGAGGAGAGCTCAGCGTTGCCCTGGCACAATGCGTTGGGGCACACGCTGTAGCCTGTGCTGCCCCAGGGCTCAGGGCTGGGGCAGGATCTGGGGCAGAACGGGCCGATTCCTCCTCGTTCGCTCTTCCCCAAGGTGTGGGCTGAGGCTGGAGGGATGCAGCAAAGAGGAAAGGGATATTCCAGGTTTTTTTTTTCCCCTCTCTTCAGAGGCAGGGCCAGCTTCACCCTCCCCATCAGGACCCACCTGGGCTAATTAGGGAGTTACCAGCTAATAAAAGCAGCTCTGCCACTCTTACAGGGAGGGTTCCTCTTCTTGGCTCCAGCTTGTTCCTTGGGAGAGCACAACTTAGTGTGTAAGGTATGTGGCTGCTCAAAGAGTCTTGGTTTTGCCTGTTTTTGGGGAGGTTTGGTGTCTCTTCCCCCTTGGAAGGGGGTGGCTGTTATTGCTTACTGCTGGGTAAGGAGAGGATGACCCAAGTTTGTCTTTCTTCTGGAGAGCTGATGGGAGGTGGGGAAAAGAGGCAGGGGAAGGTGGTGCTGCCTGCCCCAGAGAGGGTGGGCTGGCTCCAGGTTTTGGGCAGGTTGTTGCTTTAGGTGCCCAGCAAAAGTACTGGAGCTGGCGGCAGCGTCCTGACCTCGCAGAGGCAATGGTGGTGCTGAGATATCTTCCCATCCCTTTGCATCTGTTCCTCCCTGCCCAAATGTGCCCGTATATTCCCTCCTTCTGAGCATGAGTGAAGTTACCCCTGCGTTTGGTGCATTTCTAGACCTATCTGTGTATCAGTTGCAGCTCTGCTCTCGTTCTGGTGTGTGGCCCAGGCTGCGTGCCCTGGGGAGCGGAGGGCCCGGTGCTCTGAGCACCGCAGGGACCTTCAGCCGTTGATCACTGCCAGAAGGGAGACACGACTGTTCCCTGCCAGCACGGAGAGGACAGAGCTCGGCTGGAAGGCAGGAGTTAAAAAAGAAAAAAGAAATATAATGAAAAGCTGGAAACTTTGATAAGATCATACTTGTCAAAAGAGCTTCTCAGGAGAAAAAAACCTGCTCTGTTCCCACTGCATCCATCACTGTCGGATCGGATGTGAAATGCCGCCTGGTTCAGAGGGCCCCCAGAAAACCCGAGTTGATGTCTTTGGTGCTGTTTCTAGCTCTGAGACACAGCTCTGCTGTTTTCACCAGCAGCTTTCCACCCCAAACTCTGCTTGATAATGACTAGAAAGGCTGATTCTACTTTAATTACAGCAAAGTCTCCCTCCCCTTGCAGCATCTGTGAGGAGGGATGCTGCAAGTCCTCCGGAGACCTGGTGGCTGGGGACTGATGGTGCTGCCACTGAGCAGATCTTCCAGGCATGTCGGTCCTCTGATGGTCTGGGGAGCTCTGCAGGACACGGTGCAGACACTGGAGCTGGACAGGGAGTGGTAGTGAGGTGATCTGCCTGGGTTGATGCTTTCTACCCAGGCAGGCTGCTGAGAGCTGTGCTGAGCTAACAGCTCTGCTTCAGTAGCTGAAAGAACCATTTTTCTCATGTGCAAATACTTCTGCAAGGTGTTGTTCTGTGTCTCTTGTGCTCAAACATTTCTGCCTTCAAGCTGCTTTGCTGGAAAAGCGGCCAGCCCTGGAGCACGTCCTGCCAGCTCTCGGGCCATGCTGCTGCGGGGTCTGAAGGCAAAAAGGGGCGCAGAAGTGCGAGTCGTGCTCTGCTGTTGGCAGCCAGCAGTGCACAGCAGCTCCAGAAGCCATGGCTTTGGGTGGTGGGGTCTGGGTGTCCCCGGCTGGGACGGCGCATCGCAAAGGGGTGCTTTCGATGCTTGCGGCGTGCGCGGGGAAGAAGTCACTTGGCTAAACTTTGAGCGTGGTTTCAAGTAGATTCATGTTCCCCTCTTGCATCAGGCCCTTTTTAAACACAATAGCTACCCTGATTTCTTGATGGATCTGGTGGAGTGTTAAATCAAGAGAGTCCTCATGTCGGTACTTATTTTGGTGTAAGTGTGCTTTACAGTGATTCAGTCTTATTCCTTACAGGCTTTAGCTTAAATGATATAAAGATGCTTTTAAAGAGATATGCAAAATATTTGCACAAATCCATCCTCACTAGTCTCGAAACAGAATTTTAATTGGCCCCATTTTTTAACAGCTAAAGCCTAGACTGGCACCGTTCCTGTGCGCTGCTAAGTAGACCTGTATCCCTCTCAGCGCTGGGTGCGTTTCTGTGGCAGATGCAGTGACCTCCGAACATGGCTGGTTAATTTTATACGGCATTTCCTGATACAGAGCTGTTTAATTCTAGACACTTATTTGATTATGAAAGCTAATTAAAAGGGAGCAGTCTATAAGCCATCGAGATGGATATAGAGCAACGCAGATCCAGGCAGGCTCTGGTGCTGGTATCTGCAGAGAGGTGATAGCCGCTGCTGGGGCAGTTTGGGGAGCCAGCTGGTGTCTATTAGCATCGGGCTTCTGCTTTGCTGAATATTTTTGAGGGCAGTTCTGCTGCCTGTGGCTGAGCAGAAGAAGGGTAGAGTAGATACTGATTCCTAGCTTTTGGTACTTTGTGTATTTTTTTTTTTTTCCAGTGAGATGTCTGTCCTGAAATCAGTGCTGTTGTTCCTCCTCCTCACCTCGCTTACAGCTTAAAAGCACTTGTCTGATTTCCCCCTTATTTCTGTGAAGAGTTGTTGAATTTAAATAGCAATAATTGCCTGAGTTCCCTGAGTGGTTGACCTGCGTGTTTTTCACTTTTTCTGGGAATCTGAGAAGCAGGGGGAGAAACTTGAGCTGGTGCCATCTCTCTCCATCGCCTGCTTGTATCTCCCCCCCCCAACTCTCTGTTGGCCTTGGCTGCCAGTCCCAATCCCCAGGTCCCCTCTCCAGGGACAAGCAGGAACTTTTTGGGTTCTGCTGTCCTTTCCACAGCACAGCTGGGGGCTGCAGTGGGGACCTGTGTGTGGGCTCATCTCCCCAGCCCTGTGCGGAACGGCAGCAGCGTGGAACCTGTCATTAACTCTCTTCTGTGAGAGGCAAATTACAGACTTCAGTGGCACAATTAGGCTACCTCGATAGGAAATGGAAAACCAAAAAATTCCTCTGCAGATTTCTCAGTCTGCCCGCCACCTCGTCCCTTGCTCCTCTGCAGCACTGACCTGGGGAAAATCGCTCCATCGCCACCCAGTCCTGGAGACCTCCTGTTGGTGCCATGGCAAAGCTCCTTAGTAGGCAAATCTGGAGCAAGGGGATGGAAAGAGCAGGGCTGGAGTAGAAAGTGGCTCATTCCTTACTCTGAGACAGGTCTCTATCCAGCTCCTCTCCCGCGGGGAGAGCCACAGAGCCCCGCTTTGGCCCCAGGAGAGACGAGTACTGCTCAGAGCAAGGTGCGACTTGCATTTAGAGCAGAAGGCAGCAAAGCCTGTGACAGATGTTGCGGTTCATTATGCAGCAGGGGACCAGCTCTGCAGCGAGCAAGTTGAGCTAATTTCTGCGCTACGAATCATTTCTCCCAACGAGACCCGCTGCCAGCCAAAACCTTTGGCCTGGAGCATCACAACCTTGAACTTAATTTTCATGGGCTGTGGGAAGCCAGCAAGAAGGATGGAGAGCTGTGATGAACACATCAGTGCTGCTGAGAAGACGGATGATGCCTCTGAGTAGCCTTGAGAGGCATTCGGTGCCCCGGAGGGAGGTGGAAGAACCCCAGCCCCATGGCTGGGGAGGGACTGGTGGCAGAGTGGAGCTGGGCATGCCGGCTGCCTGGTTTCCCCTTGGCGAAGCGGTCCCTGCGGCTGGAGCCCGCAGCCGTGGATGGAGGCATGTGTGTGTGTGGCGTGTATGAGAGGGTCTCGCCCCAGCACCAGTCTTCTCTTGTATGGCCAAGCGAGTCAATGGCAGATTGTGTTGAAATCGCACTTCAGCGGCGAAAGCTGCAATTAGCATTTAATGAAGCTTCTTGCTTTTATTTTTAGGTAACCTCCGATTCCCTGACTGTGTAATTTAGTC